GCATCAGGGAGTGATGGTGGTGGTGGTGGTGGTGGTGGTGATGATGATGATGATGATTGGGAAGGTGTGGAGAGTACGGAATTGGATGAAATGTTTAGTGCAGCTACGGCATTCGTGGCTGCAGCTGCGGCGGATCGGGTTTCGTTGAAGGTATCGAGTGATTTGCAGTTGCAGCTTTATGGGTATTATAAGATTGCTACTGAAGGTCCTTGTACTAGCGCGCCTCCTTCTGCTCTCAAAATGACTGCCCGTGCCAAATGGTAATTTTTCGAATTATGTGTAGTGGGTTTTCATTTTGTGGCTTTTTTTTTTTGTAAGTAACAAGTTGGTGAAATGATGATGGATTAATCGGAATTGTAATTTAGGGTTTTAATGTGGTTAGATTAGGAGGTTAAGTTAATACTGGAGGTAAGAAACAGCTAAGGAAGTTCAATTTTTATGTAATTTGCTTGTAGTGTGGGCGGGTTGGATTTTGGTAAGCATGTGGGCTTGTTTATTTATGTGTTTGTTTTTTTTAAGGGGATTCAAATGGGTATTTTAAACTAGATGGATAATGGATGGGTTTGTTTGTGTATATAGTAGGGTGTGACTGGAATTTGTGATGAAAAGAGGTGAAATTCAAGTATTTGAAATTAGGTAGATTTACTTCAAGGTTTTGCTAATGATAGCGCAGCACTCTCGTGATATTTACTTGAAAGGATAGCTATGTGTTGGTGGTTCTTTGGAAGATATTTTTAGTTGATTCTGGTTATTGTTTAGTTTGTTTATTAATCGGGCATGTCAGTTTCTCCAGCATAGTTGATGGGGGTGAATGTTGTGTTTTTTATCTGAAGGTATGGTGGCTGATTGATTTTGAATCTTTGGGTGATTTATACCAGGCAAGCATGGCAGAAATTGGGTGCTATGCCACCAGAAGATGCTATGCAGAAGTACATTGATATTATTACAGAGCTGTATCCTACCTGGGCTTCTGGTTCAGCTATGGTGAGGTTTAGTTTTCTTATTTAACCTTTTCCTTTTCTTTGCCCTGTCCTGTAAATGTACTTTCTTTCATTTGACTTATCCTTGTTATTTTATACTTGCAATGATGATACAAGAGCAAAGACAGAGATGGTGTTGGACCGAGCAAGGATGGCAAAGGACCAATGGGACCGGTTTTCAGCACTTTTGTCTATGAGGAGGAATCAGGAACAGAGTTGTAAGGTTTTTTTAACTTCTATGTGGAAGGTCTACTTAATCTGCGGACCTTTAGGTCTTCATATGATCACTCAAATAGCACCTTTCCAAGAGTGGTATCCAGGACCTTCATGTGATTGTATGCTAGCATGCATGTAGAAAGTATTGAAAAGTTAATGTTTCTTTGGCTCTAATCTCATGGCATGTCATTTTTCCTGTTTGCGAGTCTTGGTGGAATATCTGGTAAAATGTTGATCAGGTTTCCTTGAGAAATTTTTTGTTTCAAGTACACATTGTCAACTGTATTCACACCTAGTTAGCTACTCTGATTTATAATGGTACCATACATTGCGATGAGAGACTGTTTTGGGGGAAATTATAAATGTCTAATAGATGGTGCTACTGAAAGTGAGGTGCAGGGGTCTTTGCTTTAGTGTGGAGTGGGAGCACTCTAGTGCTGCATCCAGTTGTTCCGAATCCCCTGATGTCTAATTTAGGAAATGGTTGACAGAAATGTTGTTTTTCAGCACTGGGATTGGAATTCTTTTATAATTCTAGTTCATGAGTTAATATGATTTCAAAGCTAGGTAATTTTGTTACAGTGAACCATATTTGGCCAATGCTTGACTTCTTAGCTACCTGCTTGAGGATAAGCGTAAATTTATTAGATCTGGGTTGAACTTATCATGCTTGGGATTGATTTTATTGAGCTTTTTATTTGATCGGTGCTTGAAAATTTGCAATGGATAAACTCTGAAGTACATTCCCACAACCACACAACTGGAGAAAGACATTTCCTGGTCTCCCTTTCCCATGTGGCAGGGTCAAAATTCTTTTCTAAGCAAATTTAGAATCCACAATATTTCTTTTTATGATCTCAGCTTATTGATTCTGATGCTAAAATCCTGGTGCATTCATGACTATTATTATCCATAATATGCAAGCAAAATGTCCTATTTGATTTCATCAAATGAATAGGAATGTTAATAAAATGTTTTCTATCACTAGAGCATAAAAGAAAGGAGATTTATGCTCCATTTTACAGGTTTGCAGTTTTAATGGACTTTATGCCATAAATAAGTGCCAAGTCCATTGCCCAACATTCAATTGAAAAAAAATACCATGTGCATTTTCTTATTGAGACATTTTCCATTATGAAGTCTATGTCTGCTTGAATAATGTCAACAATGAGTTAAAAATGTAGATGCTATTTAGTGAACATGTTTTTGGTACCCTCATCAAGGGTATCTTTCTAAATGTTAATCATAGGCCCACCCAAAACAAGCTTAATGGTCTGTTATTCCTGGTTTTCAGGAAAATGGATGCCATTCATGCGTTTGCCAGAGAAGGAGAAGTGAATAATTTGATCAAATGCATTGATGGTGGTGTTTCTGTGAACTTGAAAGGTTCGTTTCTCCAGTGTCTGCTCTTTTCCCCAGTCACGTGTTTTGACACTGAAATAAGTGAATGATATTATATTGATGCCATGCCTAACGGTTTCACCTTGATTGCTTGGGTGCTACTTGTATATGCAAATTGAGCTGTTGCTGAATATAGCCTTTGAGCATGCTTGTCCAATTTAATGGGTCATTATTGAGCTTATACTTGCCAGAGCATCATCAATACCAGGCGCCGTGCAATGATGCAATCATATGCAAATTGAGTAGTTTAGGCAATGCTTTACAATACTTGGAACTATATCATGTGTTAGAACATGCACAATGGCATCCTTTTCTATTCGTTTCCCTGTTTTGCATGTTGCTTATTCTTTTCCTCAAGCCAATGAGATGTCTTGCACTTATGAAAATCCATCAAGCTTTTTTGGGAATCAAACTTATTGAGACCTATCTGCAATGTTGAAGGATGTTCTGACTTTTCATATATGCTTTTTATTGGAGGACTTAATGAAGAATGTTTTATTTTGCTTCTGCTGATTTTTTAGTATTATGAACAGTGTACTTCCATATTTTATGTCTCTCCTTGTGTTTCCTGTGCTGTACTTGTGCATCAAAAGCGTGGATTTGGACAAAGTTTCGTAGCTTATTGTTGACCTTCATGTGAACCTAGGGGCTTTAGAGATGATTAGCTCCTTCTAAGCATTTGTGATTATTGTAGATAGTGAGGGTCGGACTCCTTTGCATTGGGCGGTAGATCGTGGTCATCTTAATATTGCCGAGGTGCTTGTTGGAAAGAATGCAGACATAAATGCAAAGGTAAATAGATGTTTTAGGCATCTCTTTTGAAGTGTCTTCAATTCTCTGGTACTATTACTTTCAAATATCTTTCAGATCAAAGTACTTGTAGTTTTGAAGCAATTAATGTTATAAATGTCCCTTTATGGTTTGCTTTAATTTCTGAAGTTTCTATCTCAAGTTAGAAATGAGCATTCCTTATTGGGGTCTTTAAAATCATTGTTCCTTGCCCACATTCTCTAGTGTTTGTTGATTTTAGGTACCATTTTCAGGCGGTTAATATGAGACAGAGTCCGCCCTGATATCTCTCCCTCTGCACAAAAAAAAAAAAAAAAAATGAAAAGAAAGGAAAAGAAAAGTTATTTGGTGCCATAGGTTCTTTGGGCGAATACGGCTTTTGTAAACTTGTTTTTAAAATTTGCCTTATGTTTTATGGCTAGCTGCCAAGGGGATTCTTTCTTCTTTTTGTTTTGTTGCTATTCTGATAATTGCTAATGATTCAATTTTTTTTAATGGCAGGATAATGAAGGCCAAACCCCGCTGCATTATGCTGCTGTCTGTGAGAGAGAAGCAATTGCTGAATATCTTGTGAAGCAAAATGCAGATACAGATGCGAAGGACAACGATGGGCAGTCTGCCCATGATCTCTGTGAGTCAGATTGGTCTTGCCTTCAATGCCCCGCGGCATAGACTGACCGGCTGCCTGTTTATTTCATGGTTTGTCCCCATTAGTCTTCTTGAAAAATTCCCCGCAGATGTATATGACTACATACAACCTTTGAACTTTGTTCATCTTAGCAACAAATTTACTGATGACATCACGTTCTCTGCCATGGCCCCTCATGTTTACTTTTCTCTTCCCTTCACGTAGTTTATGTAAAAAACATGAAGGTTGAGTTTAGAGGGTCGTTAAATGACACGCGATATGCTATGCCTCTTTGCCATTAAATGATCGGTTTATAGTTCGGTTGCAAGCCTCATCATGTTTTTTAAATCCTCGTATGTCTGCCGAGTTCTGTGTATCACACACAGAAGGAACCATTTTGTATATGCTTGTGATTTTCCCAGAATTATAAAACGGATTGGGTTTCTCGCCATAAAGGCACAAAGACGTGAAATGGTGGAAATATTTTCTTTGTAAAATTGACTGCCTTGTTATTTTCCATAAAAAAGAAAGAAAATGTTTTATCAGTTTCAAATCTGTCTCTGTTCATCATAATGTTTAATGGTTATTCGAAATCAAAGTCAGCGTGGTTCTTGCTGGTGAAGGATTGTGTGTTTGACCGTTGACATTTTCAGACAGTTCTCTCGATTCAAATCTATTGCTGGGATCATTTGTTTCACTTTCATAGCTCAAATGCATCTGGTTTCCTAGTCAAGGATCCATGCCTGTTGCTTCAACACAAATAGGTGTTGAGTACTGATTTTATTCTCTCTTTTTTTTAACGAATAAATTACAATAACTCATGGAATTATACTATCAAAAAAATCTGAAATTGTTGAAAATATCCAAAAATCTGAAGATATCATGTAAAGTCTTTTAGCTAACATGCCAGAATGTGCATTTTGAGTATAATGAGAGGCTTCTATGAAATCTCATAGTTGGGGCAAAAGTACCCTCTATTTATTTTGTTTTCAGCTGATGAATAAGTAAAAATAAATCTATTATGGAACAATTTTTAGGTAAATTGTCATTGTTTCTGTAAGCTACTCGTGAGATTACAAGTTGTTTGGAACCGATTTTTTATTACTATAATTGAATTCAATTATAATGTTTGATTTGAATTCAATTAATAAATAAGATAAATCCACATGTTTAAAAGAGAAAAAATTCATTGTTTTTTGTTTTCTATAATTTTTTATTACTATAATTGAATTCAATTAATAAATAAGATAAATTCACATGTTTAAAAGAGAAAAAAATCATTGTTTTTTGTTTTCTATGTTATCCTCATTACTTTCATTTTATTTCTTTAAATGACTTAAAATAAAGGGTTAGATGGGTATTTTAGAAAGGTAAGTTTTAATATTAAATTTTTTCTTTTTTGAATTGTAATTCAGAGGGATTTGCCCTTGATTTACTTTTGTAGTAATTTTAAAGATTGAATTTTCTTTAAAATTCAACTTTTAATACTTAAGAGGGTTTTAAAAATAAAATTCTATTAAAATTCCTGATTGAATTCAATTTGTTTCACACATTGATCAACGGTCGGACTATAACCTGAGATATAATGAGTAAAGCTAAGCCAGAAGTCTACTGGTTTTGTAAGAGGCGATGATGATTCCTTGTTCAAACCAAATATGTCGTCAAGCATGGAATTGAATTTCAACTCGAGTCTAATATTTCAGGAGAAGTACTGCTTCCCACTTAGCCAGAAGGGCAATCCTTAATTGCGAAAGAGTTGAATCTTGCAATAACACTAGGAGAATCAAATCTACCTAATTATAGAAATAAGTGGTGAGGGTTCTGACAGTTTATTCTGGCGATGAAGTATCAGAAAGGGAAAAAAAAATAAAAAAATAAATTAAAGAACATCGTTAGATTCGTCCTCACCTTTGATCTCCAGGAGCTCCACCAGATCTCTGATAAACAGAAGTGAATATGGGGTTGCATACAGCTTCCACCTCCTTCAGCTTTTACTCATAATCCTCTTTCTCGGCGTTTTGGTTGTCATTCAACCACTCGAGGGCCTTTCTGTCGAGAGAAATCCTCTTCGGAGACCAAGACTCCATGAGTAAGTGGTGCCACATCCAACAGAAGTACCATAAGAAACAGCCTCGTCAGGGTTTACACCCTTGTTGGGATCCTCTCCGTCGAAGCTGTTGAATCTTGGGAATTCTAGTGCTTCCACCAACAAGAACAATTTCATCACTCTGGCTCCTGTCCAATCCAGAATCTTCCATGGACTTCTTAGCTGGCTCCATGGTCTTTCTCAACAGGTCACTGCTCAACTCTTCGAACCTAGCTCTGGCAAGTGGTTCAGAGAAATCGATACCGTCGAAGAGAGACTTAATCTGCACACGTACTTGATGCTAGCTACTCGAAGCTCTCTTGACGCGCTCACATTCTCTCCCTAGCTTTCCAAGATATCTGTTATCCTTGCTGATGTCCTTTTCATGCTTCTTCTTGATCAACTTAATTAATTTCTCATGATTCTCTGATCGAGATCCTCACCTCCCAGATGAGCATCTCCATTGGTGGCAAGAACTTCAAAAACGCCATAATCAATGGTCAAGATACTGACATCGAAGGTGCACCACCAATGTCAAATACAAGAACGTTCCTTTCACCACCCTTTGTCCAAGCCACAGGCTATGGCAGCGCCTCTTGGTTCACTAATAATCCTCACAATGTTCAAACCGGCAACAACACCAGCGTGCAGCATCCCTCGTTGCCTGCCTGTAGGCATCACTGAAATAAGCTGTAGGGTTAACAAAGAGATCACTAAATTCAACCTTCAACCATACTATATATCAATCCCAAATCAAATTTCCCTCGAATTGAAAAACATGATTGCTTTACCTGGAACAGTTATAAGAGCATCCTTGATTTTCTTTCAAAAGAATGCCTCGGCTGTCTCCTTCTTCATTGTAAGAACCGTGGCACTAATCTCCTCAGGAATGAAAACCCTGGTCTCCTCGTCCTCAATCTTGGCTTCTATGTAAGGCTTTCCGTCCTTGTTCACAATTTTGTATGGAAAAAGCTCCATGTCCTTTCGAACCTCTATGTCACCAAAACTACACATACAAACGCAGATTATAATTTCAATCACACACAACAGTCATCACACACATAAACAAGAATACACAAGAATTATAGTGTACCGGGTTTGCTCTCAAGATATTATTAACTTAAATTTGTTATTAAAAATTTATACAGTTATTAATTTAAATACTTATAAAATTAATTGAGACATGCACAATTTCATCTAACACCAATTTAAAATAATTTTATGGGCTAAGCGAACTAAAACCACACAAATTTGGGCAATCATTAACTTACAAATTACAACTATCCGTAATTAACATATTCCAAAAAATATAAATATATTTATTTTATCTTACTGTCTCTATTTCAAATATATTTCTATCTCTTCTATATTTATCTCTTCAATCGTGAGAGACTAACCAAAAAGTAAATTACTTATGCTCCTGTCTCATAAATTTTGATAAGAAACATGCCCACGTACAAAATATTGCTTTTTGGAGATTGGAATTCCACAATTTTTTATAGAATAATAACCTTCTTAATCGTTTCAAGTTATTTTGGAGGCAAGAAAAATGCTACACAGAAATCAGAACATAGCAAATTTATTCCAAACCAACCGTTAATAACTGTTTTCCCCTCCAAATAGAGAAGCCATAGAAAATATGAGAGCAAAAAAAGAAAAAGAAAAAAAAATCAGCACCCTTTCTCTCTTTGTCTGTTTATGCAACAATCTTCTCTGGTTTGACTTAACAACCAGCTCCTCTGCTGCTTCAAAATGGGAAGGGTAGTGGTTTATGTCCTCATAACCGTAGCCTTTATTATCTTCATAACCTTTTCTCCCATCAACAACCACGGTCGTACCACGCCTGGCCTCAACCGCCGTCTTGGTTCCAAATTTTCAATGCCAGATTTTGATCCATTAGTTGTAAAAATGCAGAGATTTGCCGAGGAAAAAGGTTACACCGGCGAGGGTGAAACGATAAATTTGGAAAACAATGGCTATGCCAAAGAGGTTGAGGATTCTGATGAGTATCTAAGTGATGATGGAAGGTTAAACATTACCTTAAGGTTACTTGTTTTATTCCCATTGTTAGACAAGAAACCTAGAGATGGGTTGATCAGCTTCGAGGAGCTAGAGGCATGGAATGTTGAGCAAGCAAGAGAACGCTTAGCTTACAGGACACAGAGAGAAATCCAATCTCGGGACAAGGATAGAGATGGAGCAATTGATTTCAAGGAATATTTGCCTCAATTTTCCAATGAAGATATAGGTGAAAAATTTTCGTATACATGTTCATAATCAGTTCTTGATACATGAAATTTTTTTTAAAAAAATATATATATAATTATTGTGGTTAATTGGGTTTTGCATGCTGATTATGCGTGAATGAATGTTTTTGATTGTGCTGTGTGTCACCTTGTGTTTGATAGAGAGAAATGAAACGGGGCATGGTGAAGCGGGATGGTGGATGCAACAATTTAGGAATGCAGATGTTGATCGAAATGGAACCCTAGATTTCGATGAGTTTAACAAGTAAAATATTTTTATTTTTGTTTAGGGTTACCGGATTTGGAGGTTGATATTGTTCATGAAATTTGATTAACAGAAATCATTCTGGTTATGCAGCTTCTTGCATCCCGAAGATAGTACCAATAAAGATATCCAAAAATGGATTTTGAGAGAGAAACTTAAGTAAGTTGATTCTATAATTTTCTTAATTCTTCTTATTAATAGTTTCTTAATTGCTTGCCGGCCAGTAAGTTGATTCTATAATTTTCTTAATTCTTCTTATTAATAGTTTCTTAATTGCTTGCTGGCCAGTAAGTTGATTCTATAATTTTTTTTCCTTGTAAGTATATTAAAATTATTAGTATAAAATACTAAAAAATATTAATTTAATATTTTTTTTCAAGTCAAAAATATTTTTAAAAAATACATAAAAATAGAAGTAAAAAGAGTACCAAACACCCTTTAAAATATAATTGAGACAATAAAAATTATTTAATTTTTATTGTTTAGAATTTTTTTACTCTCAAATTATGATAAAAACTTGAGTTATAATTTATAATTTTTTAAAATTTATTTTTTCAAATCATAAACAAAACTGTAAAAAATACCATGATGACGAACACAAACCAAACCCACTACGGATAAATAAAAAAAAAAAGGCTATGCATGTCGGAATTAGAGGATTTTAATTCTCAATGTTTGGCTAGAGGCAGCTTGAACTTCAATGGCAAAAGAAAAAAACACACTCCTTCTTCAACTACCAGACCAACCTCTTCAAAATTTAATTTAATTATGCTGATATATATATATATATAACGCATATCTTTCTTTGAAGATGCAGGCGGATGGATGATGATCGTGATGGGAAACTCAACTTAGCAGAGTTCTCTATGTACGCTTATGATGGTAATTACAGGAGCTACGCAGAATTTGAACCTAATGTAGCTAGATCAGTTCGCACTGCAGAAGAGAAATTTCTTGAGCTTGATGCGAACAAAGACAAGTCTGTTAATTCATCTCTTGCCCTAAGAACATTTCCCCCTTCCTTTCTTCATTAATCAATATTCATGTCGATCGGCTAATGTAACCTCATATAATGTCGTACTGTTTTCAGTTTTTTGTCGGAGGAGGAGCTAATACCAATGATCCCGTACCTCAAGCCTGGAGAACTATCGTATGCTAAGCATTACACCAGCTACTTGATTCATGAGGTATGCTTGCTAGTATGAAGATCTTTAAATTTATATTCATAAAATCCAACTCGATTATAAAGACTTGAATTAACCTGAATTAATCTAGTATTATATTAAAACTTTTTTATAAAAGAAGTTGAAAGCACATTGTTATAAAATGTCAAGCATGATACCACTTGTAGTTTAACCATGTCAATTGGATTATAAGTCAGATTAGGTTTGTTAGGGTAACTTCTACTTGACTCAACAAGAAATTTGGCTGGGCTAGCTCCCAGAATGATGAGTTACTGGGTTGATTTGCTAGGGTGAGCTGGGTTTTAACTGTGGCTAGCTTTTCATAGATAAAAAATAAGTCTCTTTTGGATTAGCTAGCTGGTTCGAAGAGTTTTGGTTTTACTTTATTCCTTCATGTTTTTTTAGTTTTTCATGAATATGCATACAACAATTTGTAATTGATGCTTTTGTTTCATGATCCAGACTGATGACAATGGAGATGGTTATTTATCCATAGATGAAATGCTGAATCATGAATATACATTCTATGGGACGTTTTTCCAAGACGATGAAGATTATGACGATGAGTTCCATGAAGAACTGTAAATGTTCTATCATCCATTAGATGTTAAGTAGCAGCTCGGTCGCCATGGAAAGTTCTCTCTTCTTTTGTTACTCGATACCACCATGTAAAGTTTTATGCTTCTGAAGAGCAATTGAAATCTGGTACGTGGTGATTTTTTCACTCTTTGCAAAAGCTCGCATGGCTGCCCAGCAACATATCCTCTTCGATGCTGTCTAGCAAGTCTATATAGCATGGTGCATCGATCTAGTTTACCAACAAAAAGATTTATTCATTCTTTTCCTTGAACGAAACTTGTGCATAAGGCTATATAATTTCTTTGTTTTCATGTTGCAGTTGTCGTTAAATTCATGTTATTATTGATACTACATTTTACCCAATCAAGAGATGTACCTATATATATAATATTGAAAGATATAGTTTAATTGATTAGATTTAAAATTTAGTTTTTAGAAATTATTAATTTAAGTACTATAAATCTAGAACCACCAAAAATTTATATAATTATTAATTTTAAAATTTTAAAAAATTAATCAAGATAAGAATAAATTAACTTGAACACCCATATCATAATCAACAAAAAAAATATATATACATATACCCATACCACTATCAAAAAAAAGAAAAATTGTACCCCTTTGTCTCTCTTAAATATATTGACATGACCAAATCGATTCATTTTTTAATCTGTTAACTTATAATATAATATTATAATGTAAATCATATTTTATATTAAATTGTTTTGGATATTGATTCATTTAAATCTAAATAATTTAATAAATTATCTTATAACTTGTTTAATAAAAATAAATTTGGATAAGACCTTATCAATTTAAAATAATTTTATTTAAAATGATATTATCTTAGTGCTTTTTTTAAAAAAAAATTTCATCCAAAATGATGTGATTTATAATTATTTCTGATAGCTCAATTAGCAAGGGATGAACTCTCATATCCTTCCTATATATGTCCAAAATGAGCAAGTCTATCGATTTTGTTCATCAATACAAACAACAAATGAGAAAATATTAAGGATAGGGTCATGGCTAGGGGTGAGTAAAAAAACCGGAAAACCAATTTAACCGAGAAAACCGAAAAAAAAATAACCAAAAAAACCGAACCGGTAGAAAAAACCGATTAAACCGGTTAAAATATTTAGAAAAATGTCTGGTTCGGTTCTGTTTACAGTTTTGGTGTGCTTGAACTGGTTAACCTAAACCGAACCGAACCAGTTCAGTTTAGGAATGAAAAAAAAAAAACCAAGGCAATAGGCATTATTTTAATACTTTCCCTAAAAGTTTAATACTTTCCCTGGTTTCATATCACAAGCCACGTCCTCCTGGCTCCCTTAGTCATTACTTTAATACTTTCCCTAAAAGTTTCAACAACCCTAGCACTATCAATTTATCTTCTTTTCCTTTCATAGTCCACACAGCCGCCCCCTCCCCTCGAACCCTTTCAATTTTTATTCACACTTCTCAAACACAGCTGCCCCCTTCGATCACCCCTTCTCCCATTAACAGCCACCCCCGCCCCCTCCTATTAACAATCACCTCCTCTTCACCAATAAATAAGCTTAGACTATTCTCGAATGACTATTCTTTAAATCTCAAAAGAAACCGTTGTGTATGTAAGGTGGTGAAATTGTTACCACTTTCAGAGTTTCTTAAATCTATCGCTTCTATCAAAGCCGATTACATCGCTCACGATGCTCAGGTAATCTTGTCATGTAATTATAGATTTAATTAATTGTTGCTTGTTGATTTTATGTTGTTTTTATTTTTCTATTTTGATGTGTTAAACTGTTAATTATTTTAAATAATGTAAAAATGAAGGTGGACGAAAGAACACAATCTGGAAAGGAAATTGGAATCGTTGTCCCTGTCTCAGATTCTCAGAAGACGATCAATCGCAAACAGTATGTCCTTTTTTTTCCCTTCTTTTCTTTCTCGCTGGTAGATTGGAATTTGGAACTGCCAACAAGGTTTATACTAATGACATTCTGAAGTTCATATACATGGTTAAGCCAAACATGAGCAAAAATAAAGAAAAGTTGAAAATGTAATTAAGTTCACATGATTATCTTTTGACCTACATGTTCATTAATTAGTAATTGTGAATTATTAAGAAAAAATATCATCTACTGACTCTGCTTAGTGTTGTATAATGTATACTTGTATGTGGGTTATACTTGTATAATGACTCTGTTCTAGTTCATTTTCATTAGAAAGGATCGTAAAAGAAGGCTGAAAACATCTCTAAAATCTCAAAAAGACAATTACAGAAATACAGTTGTTTATTTCTTCCAACTTGAAACTCTCTTTCTGTGTGTCTGTCTCATGTGCATGTGCATATATACACCTGTAGTTCTTGCTTCTCTCCAGTTCCTTTCGTTTGCAAGTTATTCTATAAAAATCATATTTGATATGTGTATGAATAATTTATATAATAGTTGGTTAGAAGATTTATTATGATTTAACATCTGATTTTAATATGTGCTGTTACAGTGTTACTACAACATTACTATGTTTTTATACTGTTTGAAGCTAATTTCTTTTGAGTTCTTCATTGTTGTTGGCTGTTGTTTTGAGTTCAACATACAGAAATATTAATAATTAATAATTGTTAATTATAGATGGAAAACCATCTAAATCAAAATGCTTCATCCACTAACACTACCCCAACATCAACCAATGCCCCAGCTTCAAACACTAACCCAACATCAACTTATCTTATGTT